ACCCATAATTTTTCATTTATGAATCCAGTTTAATTAGAAAATAGTTGATGAACAGTGTCTCCTTTTTTAAATGTAATTTGAAGTAGCAGATGGCAGACATGCACATTACCTGGGTGTCTCAATCCTTTATGCTTACTCATTCGCATGGGTCCTTCAGTGAAGCCAACTGTAGAAAGTGTGGGAGGCAGGCAAGCTGTGCGGGGGAACCCTGGGCTCATTTGGTTCATTGCTGCCACCTGCTGGGGCCTGGCTGCTGGTAGGGAATGGCTGCCCAAGAGAGCTAAGCCATCAGAGCCTTCCTGCTAAGCAACATGTGTGTGGTTCCATTGCTAATCATTTATCATATTTCTAGATGACAGTGTATGAACTGAAAGAACTTTATGAATTGTACAGCATTACACCAATCAGTGTAAAATGGCGTTAGGTTATGTTGGTAACACACAGTATTAAGTAGGGATGAGACTGAGAACTAAGCAATCCACCAAAGATTCAAGGGTCCTGGAGTATCAGAACTGGAAGAACCCTTAAAGGAGATATAGTGGACCTTTAATGTAATTAAATGAGGGACTTGTTAAAATGCAGATTCCTGGGCCCAAAATAGTGCTTACATAAGCTTCCCACATGATTCCGATGCAGGTAATCTCATACCATATGTGAGAAGCTGCCACTAGAGCTTCTTGGCCATTTCTCTAATTAGTGCCTCATTTCAGTTAATTTTTTTAAAATTACATTTTCCATCAATGGGATGAGTCATCTTAATACTGTAACAGGTTCTTAGAAGCATACACACAAAAATTATTGTTGGATGGGTTTTTTTTAAAATCACTTTTAAATAATTAATTTTTATTTCTCCGTAAGAAGGAAATATTGCAGTTTATATTGGTCAGTTTACAGTGGAATGCTTATACCTTGGGTACTGACAAGCAAAGGTGAGGGTTTAGTATTACATTATGTGTCCATTGAATTTTCAGGGACCTAAAATACCATAATATGGACTCTTACCTTTGGAGGAGCCAGGTACACAAAGCTGCAGCCCCCATGGTTTTAGTTTGTCTCATTATCACTTCTCACCCTGTCTTGGCAAGCTTAACCAACTTACATGTAATAATTAACACAAATAGTGGGGCTGGGGTTGTGGCTCAGCAGTAGAGCACTCGTCCAGCATGTGTGCACCCTGGGTTCGATCCTCAGCACCACATAAAAATAAATAAAGGTATTGTGTCCAACTACAACTAAAAAATAAATATTTAAAAATAATAATAATAATTAACACAAATAGTAACTTTCCTTTCAACACAGGAAAAATAAGTAGCCTGGTATGCAAGTTTGAGAACCTACCTTAAAACTGAGAATTCTAAGGACATGTCAAGGAGAGTAAACTATAAGCCAATATCCCTGATGAACTTAGATGCAGAAATGCTTAATAAAATATTAGCAAATGAGGAGCTGGGATTTGGCTCAGTGGTAAAAGTGCTTGCCTGGCATGTGTGAGGCACTGGGTCCGATCCTCAGCACCGCATATAGATAAATGAACAAAGGCCTGTCAAAATAAAAAATTTTAAAAAATATTAGCAAATGGTGTTCAACACCATATTAAGAAGATTGTACATCACATCCATGTTGATTTTATTTCAGAGATGCAAGGATGGTAGGATGGTTTTTTAATATATGCAAATTAATAAATGTAATTGATCTGAAATAGAATTAAGAACAAAAATCACTTTGTCATCTCAATAGATGCAAAGAAGGCCTTCGAAAAAATTTAGCACCCATTCATGATAAAAACAATGAAGAAACTAGGGATAGAAGGAACCTACATCAGGAAGGCTATATATGAAAAGTCCAAATCCAACCTCAGAGTGAATGGTGAAAACTGAAAGCATTTTCTTGGAAATCTGCACCAAGACAAGGATGTCAACTCTCACCACTCCTATATAATATTATGCTAGAAATTCTAGCCAGAGCAGGTAGGCAAGAAAAAGAAATAAAAGTTATAAAAATAGGAAAGGAAGAAGTCAAATTATCACTATTTGCAGATATGATCCTGTACTTAGAAGACCCAAAAAATTCCCATCAAAAGACTGCTGTAGTTAATAAATTCAGCAAAGTAGCAGGTTACAAAATCAACACACAAAAATTAGTAGCTTTCCTATATACCAACAATGAATCTGCTGAGGAAGAAATCAGGAAAACAGTTCCATTCACAGTAGCCTCAAAAAATACAAAATACTTAGAATAAATCTAACCAAGGAGGTAAAAGACCTCTACAATGAAAACAGTAAAACATTGAAGAAAGAAACTGAAGACCTCATAAGATGGAAAGACCTCTCATGTTCATGAATATGCAGAATTAATATTATTAAAATGACCATACTGCCAAAAACAATCTATAGATTCAATGCAATTCCCATCAAACTACCAGTGACAGGGGCTAGGGTTGTAGCTCAGTGGTGGAGCATTTGCCTTGCACATGTGAGGTACTGGGTTCAATCCTCAACACCACATGAAAATAAAAAAATAAAGATATTATGCCCATCTACAACTAAAAATATGTGTATTTTAAAAAATACTAGTGACATTCTTCACAAAACTAGAAAAAAACAGTCCTAAAATTCATTTGGAGGAATAAAATATCCAATATAATTTTAGGTCAAAAAATCCATGCTGGGGGCTGGGGTTGTGGCTCAGCGGTAAAGTGTTCGCCTAGCATGCTTGAGGCCCTGGGTTCGATCCTCAGCACCACATAAAAATAAATAAATAAAATTTTAAGAAGTATTATGTCCAACTACAACTAAAAAATAAATATTTTTTTTTAAAGCCATGCTGGAAGCATCACAAAATCTGATTTCCAATTATACTACAGAGTTATAGTAATAAAAGCTGCATGGTTCTGGCATTAAAACAGACACATAGACCAGTGGTACAGAACAGAAGACACAGGGACAAACCCACACATCTACAGTCATCTGATCCTTGACAAAGGTGCCAAAAACATACATTGGACAAAAGACTGCCTTTTCAACAAATGATAATGGGAAAACTAGTTATCCATTTATAGAATAATGAAACCAGAATCTTAACTCTCACCTTGCACAAAATTCAACTCAAAGTGGATCAAAAACCTAAGGAATTAGATCAGAAACTATGAATTCCTAGAAGAAAACATAGAGTCAATACTCCAGCATATAGGCACAGGCAGTGATTTTCTTAGTAGGACCCTTAAAGCTCAAAAGATAATGCCAAGCATTAATATATGGGATGGCATCAAATTAAAAAGCTTCTGCACAGTGAAGAAAACAATTTGGAATGTAAAGTGAGAATCAACCTACAGAATGGGAGAAAATATTTGCTACCTACTCTTATGGATTAATATCTAGAATATATAAAAAACTCAAAAGACTAAGTAACCCAATTAATAAATGAGCAAATGAATTAAACAAACACTTCTCAAAAGAAGAAATACAAGTGACCAAAATATATGAAAAATGTCCAACATCATTAGCAATTAGGGAAATACAAGTCAAAACTGCACCGAAATTTTGTCTCACCACTCAGAATGGCAAGAGTACAAATAATAATAAATTCTGGAGAGGAAAGTCATCATATTGTAGCAACACATGTGTACCATGTTTTTTACATATATTTTGGGGGGTTGTGGATGGACACAACACTTTTATTTTTATGTGGTGCTGAGGATTGAATACAGTGCTTCATGCATGCTAGGTAAGCTCTCTACTACTGAGCTACAACCCCAGACCCATACCCATGTTTTTAGCCAGTAGCTAAACTCTGGAACCAGCATAGGTGACCATCAATGGATGGATGGATAATGTGGTATATATACACAATGGAGTTTTATTCAGCCATAAAGAAAAATAAAATATGTCATTTGCAGAAATTATTAATAATATATTAGTAATAGGTGAAATATGCCAAACTCAGGTGGTCAAGGGTCATATGTTCTCTCTTGGAGGGAAGATAGAGAGGAAAAAGGAAAAGAAGGACAGAAGGGTTGTAGGGATCTCATGAAAATCAAAGGAAGATAAGTAGAGGAAAGGGACCAGAAAGTGAGAGGCAGGGAGGGAGAGGGGAGGTGCTGGGAAGTGATATTGGCCAAATTATATTGCTATATTGTGTGCATATACAAATAAATAACAATAAATCCCACCATTATTATAATTATAATGCACCTATAAAAATGTGGAAAAAGGAAAGAAAACTTAAAAAAAAATACTTGTTAAATAATAAATAAAATACTTTTACCAAAAATCTTGTGTGGATAAGATAAAAATATAAAAAAGAACTGAGAATTCTAAATATCTGTCACATGTTTGCTTCATTGAATATTATCTTTCTATTCCAAAAATACATACATACATATATATATATATAAATATATTTTGGAAGCAGGAGCTTCCAAAACTACTGATTCCAATCTGACTGTAAACTGAGACCTTGAAGCCATTGACCTCCCAGGCAAATTACACTTGATGTATTAGGTCATGTTAATAAATCCTGAGCACCAATAATTTCCAGTGTATTTTCCTCTAGGCATATTTATTTTTCCTTTTAAGTTTTCAAATTGTTGCTTTTAGGAAGTTCAGCCCCTTTGATGCAAATGACATATATTTAATGAGGTGTTATATATCATAGGTATAGAATCAGAAGGCAAGCTGGGCATGGTGGCACATGCAGCAGCTCTGAGGCGGGAGGATCATGAGTTCAAACCCAGCTTTAGCAACGTATCAAGGCCCTAAGCAACTCAGTGAGACTCTGTCTCTAAATAAAAATGAAAAAGGGCTGGGGATGTGGCTAAGTGGTTAAGAATCCCTGAGTTCAATCCATGGTACCAAGAGAAAAGGCAGTTTATTTAATCTCTTTATAAAGAAATCTTAAGCTTTTATTAGCTTTATAATTTTTATTACTCATAAATGTGCTTTGACATTTTTGTTTTCTGTCTTTATATCTCATCTTTGAAGTTTTTTCTTTCTTTTTTTTAGGGATATCTAAAGGACATCTTGAAAGAAATTGGAATTCAGAATGTAAAAGGGATCCACAAAAATACGTGGGAGCTGAAGCCAGAGTACAGGCATTATCAAGGAGAAGAGAAGAGTGACTGAGAGGCCTTGTAGCCAGAATGCTGATGGAACAGCTGAGTGGTGATGCTAACCAACAGCCCTGTTACCAGGAAGCTTGAGCATCCTATGTTAAAAGGAGTAAAATGATTGGTACTTTAGTTTCTTTTAGTAAATTTTTAAATCTGTAATTCTATAAAATTTCTTAAAGTGGTTTTTGAAAAATGACAAATTTATTTATAGACTTGTATTAAACTTGTAAATTCATGATGGGGATAGGGGTTAGGGATTAAGAGGGCTTTTCATTTTAAATGTTAACTTTTAAAATGTTAAGATTTGGAAATGTTTGCTAAATGAAGACTTTGTCCTTGCTGCCTATCTGAGAAACTAAAGTAACTCAGGTCCAAAGTGAATGATATACAAGGAATAAAGGTCAACTACAGAAATCATTAAAAGGAATAAATAACCAAAGCTGCTTTTTTCTGAACTTGTTCAAAAATGAAGTTGCCTTTTTAAAAAAAAAGTGATCATATTTCATGTTCATTGGTACATTTATAAGACATTCAGTTCATAGTAGAATGACAATTTTTATCATTAGCTTATTTTATTCTAGTGATATTGATAAGCAGAATGAACAAAATCATTGTCAAGTCATGTGTCTTTTGTTTGCTTTTAAAATAAGTAAAAATTGAATACCTGTCCAAAATTTCAAGATTTATCTTCTTCAGCCAGATTATAAACTTTACAAAGTCTGGCTTTGCCTGCAGAATTTCACTGCCCATTCAGCAGGTACATATTGACTTCACCTGGCAAGTAACACTGCCAACTAAAGGAGGGTTGTAGTGGTGCAATGGAGACCGAAAAGGTTAGTGTCAGTTCCTAGGGCATGAAAATGTTTCTTTTATCTTTCTCTTTAATATTTAAATGAGCAATACAAGTACATGATAAAATGTATAAGTACATGATAAATTTTTTCTGACATAAAATGTTGTATATTAGGCAATCCAAAATCATACCCACAAACAAAACCCCCCAAAAAAAGGAGTTTTAGCAAACTAAGCACAGTGAAAAGTTGTTTAAAACATGAATTCATTTTGTCATTTAGGATATTTGTAATCAAAAAGTGGCAAATGCCAAAATTTTAAGAAAATATTACATCATTACAGCAAAGAGATAGCTCTCCATTGAGAGAAATAATGTTCTGTATGATTTGCTTTTAGCAGCAGGACAACAGAATTCTTAAGTGGAGTGCCACTGTACTAAGAAAATTTTTATCTTTGCATTCCCACCATAAAATACAACTGTGATTAAGGAGGGTGGTCTCATTCCTCACCCCACTTCAGTTGTCATATCCTACCTTGTTCTGGTGCAGGAGGCAGATATGGTATGCCCATTACCTCCTCTGCTGATGACTGGAAGCCCAGTCATCAAAAGCTCTCAGATAAAGGTATCGCTCTATAGAAATGAGAATTCTGGGTACCTGCCATGTGCATGGTGTATTACATAGCATGTATCTTCCCACAAAACTTGCCCTTTTTTGCTGTATGATACTGTCCTGAAACAGAGAAGACGAGACCTCTGTATTTGTTTTGCTTTAGTTAGAACAGTCTCGCCAAATTGAACTTGGTAGCAGTGCCATTCGAGTTTCCGGGGCACAGCTGTGTCTTTGAAACTGTGCTTTGTTGTTGTTATTTTTTTTTAATGTTTATTTTTTAGGTGTAGATGGACGCAACACAATTTTTATGTGGTGCTGAGGATCGCACCCAGGTCCCGCCCGTGCTAGGCGAGTGCTCTACCGCTGAGCCATAATTCCAGCTCAGGTATTTTTTATAAAACTGCTTTCTTTAGCTTCTCATAGTTGCTTTTTACCTCATCATACCTGATTGCATCTGCTTGGGTCTCTAAAACATCAGTTATTTCTTCAGTAGAATAATTGATCTAGATGGTAGACTAGTGCCAGTCCTCATTCATTTTTTGGATTGAACCCACTGCTCTACCATTTTCTTCCTTCCTTCCTCCCTTCCCTCCCCTCCCCTCCCCTCCCCTCCCCCTTTCTTTCTTCCTTTCTTTCTTCCTCCCTTCCCTCCCTCCCTAAGTTGCTCAAGATGGCATCAAACTGGGGATCCTCCTGCCTCAGCCTCCCACATAGCTGGGATCGCAGTTATGCACCACTGCTCCCAAATCCTTTATTCTTCCATTTCAGGACTCTCTTGCTCTGACAAACATGCTTTCAACAGCTAAAACTCAAGAAGTAGGAACCCTAAACTCATAAAAAAAGTACTGTGAGATTCAGAGAGAAAAAGGCTGATAATAAAATGTCACATCAGAAGAGTACAGGAAGGCCATATTTCATAGATGAACCTCAAATTGTGCACTTGCTTAGGAGATGTTTTAAGTGACAGAATAATATTAAGATTTGGTTGCTGGGCATTAGAAAGATTTCAATTGCATGTTGCTACAGTAACTTACAAAATGGTGTAAATTTAAAAAGAAGACAGATTTTGCTCTGTTTTATCATGAGCAAGCTCTGAAGGATTTCAACAGTTCTTAATGGTCTGTGAACAGATTTTTCTTGAAGCTTATTTTCTTTATTGGTACGTATCAGTGAAATAATAGTAAACACTTATCAGGCCCTCTGTGCCTAGTAGTGTGTTAATTGCTCCAAAATATTATATTGTTTAATCCTTCAAGATTATGCTGAGGCATAGGTAATGTCCATTTTATGGAACCATTTCCTGCCTAATATCTCTAGAATGTTGGTCCCCCTTTGTAGAAATCCTACCCATGGGGCAAAATCAGAGTGTGTTTTTCCAAATTCTCTCCCCATCACCTCATTTCACCTCCAAATCAAAAAAAATGGAGCTGATCCAAGAGAGTTTCGAAGAAGGATCTTAACCTTTGGTATCCCTAATTGAATTCAGACACCAAGTCTCATACCCACAGGATGAAGACTACCCTTAAATTCAGGATCCTTTTGCTAAAGTTTAAATCTCTGTTCCACTTCAAGTGGAGGGTGGGATGAGAATGGACCCAGTATGACAGCCCTCTGAGTGGAGGTTGCTGGTGGAGAGTGCTCAGAGGGGTACTGGACTGAGCTGCCAGATGCTCAGGTGGCACCTGCTCACTCCACTTTGTTTCACAGGATGCTGCCGTGTTTTCTCTAGCATTCCTACAGGAGTCTGGGAAATAGTGAGATTTGAATTTGACTTTTGAATTCTGCTTTCTTTCTAACACAAGTCTAGAGCAGGTTCCTGAAGCCTAATGAAAGCATTTGGATAAGGTGTTTTTTAAAAAAGGGATCGGAGGTCACTTTCTTCACACACACACACACACACACACACACACACCCTTGCTTTGAGTCAGGGTCTAACTAACTGCTCAGGCTGGCTGTAAACTTGCAATCCTCCTGCTTCAGCCTCTCAAGAGGGACAGAGGTCATTTTAACCATACTCATAGTTTTTTCTCCTCCCTTTCCTTTGAGTATGTGTCATTATCCATAATGTTTGTTATAAAAACAAATCAGGGCTTTTATCTGATTGTTAGAACCCATATAAACTAACAGGACTATTCAGATGCTTTAGGTTCCAATTTAAACTGGATTCTTTTATGTCATTTAATCTTAAGTTTTAGGGCTTTTAAGAATTATTTTCTTATGGGCTGGGGTTGTGGCTCAGTGGTAGCATGCTCATCTAGCATGCATGAGCCACTGAGTTCAATCCTCAGCACCACATAAAAATAAAGGCATTGTGTTGTGTCCATCTACATCTAAAAAATAAATATTTTTTAAAAAATAAAGAATTATGTTCTTAAAGTGTACCATGTCTTAAAATGTTGAAATGTGTATTTAAATTGTCTTAAGAGAATTAATTTTTTATTGTGCTGTGGATGTATAAATTCAGCAAGAGTATGTTACTAAGCTAAAAATCATAATCTGGGGTGGTCATGAAACACAATGGCTGTTTACTAATTTGGCAGGTATTAGTAAATGTGAATATGTCCCATGCGCACACAAATGAGTTTACAGGGCTGGTCCTCTTGACATTTAAGCCTTGCTTCTGATTACCATTCCATTGTCTCTTCTTCAACAAAGCCTATTTTAAGCTACTTTGCCAACTCATTAATTCTTACCACAATGGTTTAGCATGGGCTCTCTTATCCTTGTTTTTTAGATATAAATCCTGCAACACCTAGAGGTTGAAGAACTTGTCCAGGGTTATACTGTAGCCAGGGACAGAGACTGATTCATATTCCCAAACTGCACTCTGGACTCAGACTCCTGGCCACCATTGGTGTGTTGGGTAGTGAGCACACACTGCAGAGAGCCCAGAGCAGTAATTCACCTTCCCAGACCCTCTCCTCACTCATAGGGAGCAGTCTCAAGAGTTATGTTTCTTCAACAAAGAGTTGCTTCTGGATGATGCCTCAGTTGTTCCACCTTAAAGGTTCAGTTTCCAGTTCCTACTCAGTTTGTGGAGTTTCCTGCTTGTAGAATGATGTTCTTTTTTTGTTGTAGACTCCACATGAGGAGATATTTCTCAAGAATGATTACCAGTGGCCAATGTATTTTATTTACTTATATCCTAGACCACCAGTGATTCTTCAGTGCCAGGCTCATGAGAAAGTTTCTGGTGTGGTTAGTCACAGTTGGTGGTCCTTGCCTTGGCTCAGAGAGCACCAATGAAGTCCCTCAGCTTGAGACCCCAAAGTAGCAGGAATATAGAGATGAACAAATAAGATAGGTCTTTGCCTTCAGGGATTTATGATATTGAATAAGACTTGGAAACAGATACATGGAAACATAGATTATTAAATACGTGGAAGAATGTTTTAAGAGCTAACTGGATTCAAAGCCCATGACTTAGAGAAAGTTGCTTACTCTCTGTGCTTCAGTTTCATTATTGTAAAATATGGCTAATTGGGTGTTTGGAGGAACAGGAAAGCTTCTTAGAGGATTTAATGTCTGGGTTGGGTTTTGAAAGAGTCTAGAAATTCATTAAGAATCAGCAAGCAGGAAATACAGGGGGAAAAGTTTAAGGGCATCAGAATAACCTTCCTACATGAGATGGGTGAAGTGAGAGCCCACACATACTTTTAGTTTACTGGCAGATACAGGAGAATAGTAAAAAATTGTGGACAGACAAGTTGAGCCCTGACTCAATATGATGCAAGAATTTAAGGGTCAAGCCAAGTGGAGCTGAGACAGGAGGATTGTAAATTCAAAGTCAGCCTCAGCAACTTAGCAAGATGCTGTCTTAAAAAAAAAAAACTGAACAAAAAAGAACTTGGGGTAGCAAATCTCACCTGTGCCCAAGTGGAATGGGTAAAGAGCTCTTTACCTAGACAGTCCTGCACTTCTTAAGCTGTGCACACAGATGCCTGCTGATGCCAGCAGCTCGGTTATGCCCTTATTTGCAGCAGGCTTTTTCACCTTGACTCATCCCTGCCTGATTCATTCCTGAATACATTTCTTCACTGTGGTTCAATTAGAGCTGAAGTCGAGATCTACCTGAGAGAATTATGTGTTAGAGGTTTGAAGTGTCAGTCACTTGCCCTCCACCAGAGCAAGCTCTGATTAATGAAGATAACTTGGGGAGCACAAGCAAAATGGGGTTGAGTAATAAACATTTTTATTGGAGGCCCAGTCACTCCTAGTTCTGCTGGAAAGCCTAGCTAGGAGCTAAGGCCAGAGTTGAGAGAGGCCCTTATCTTTTTCTAGAGATGACTAGAAAAAGTCACTGACTAGTCACCTGTAGGTAGTTGGTCTGACCTAACACTTGTAGTGAAAAGCTGGACAGCTGAACTTCCCAGCAATGGCACATCCTAGGGTGCTCATCCCTGGGAGAGTGAACACGGGGGTTCAAAGACAGTATACACAGAATGGGAGGAGACAGAGCTGTTTTAACACTGTTAAGGAATCATTAATTTGATGTAAATAGAAGATGGGCTTTGTACAAGGCACAAATGATTGAGTGGTAGCAGGCCACCAAATGAGTTCTTACTCAAAACCCATCTTTAAATCAACCTGCTGCCACCTAGATTTCCCTTTAGACCACAAATGACCCCACATCCACCCCTAAGACACAGCTGAGATTTTAGTGAGCATTCACTCGGCCATATGTTCAGAGAACACCTGTCCAGTGTGGACCTCCAAAGAAGACACTAGGGCATGTCTCTGCTGATGAGGCCTTCAGAAATAAATGATGATCTCTCACCAATGATGCCAAAAGGGAGACTTAAAATTTAAATACAAAGAACATAGTTGTAAAACACATTAAAAGATTTGTATCCCAACTATATAAAGATCTTTTAAAACACAGTAACAAAACATACAATCCAGTTTTAAAATGGGCAATAAATGTAAACATCTTTTATAAAGAAGAGATGGATGGTGAGTAGTTTATAAAAAGCTGTTTGACTTTATTGGTCATTAGAGAAATGCAAATTAAAATCAAACAACATAATGCTACATGCCTGACAGAATATTTAAAACAAGAATATATAAAATATATATATGTGTGTGTGTGTGTGTGTATATATGTATATAAAATTTAACTGGAGGTTTAAC